GGGATACATGTACGTTAAAACGCCAAGAAAATAGATAAAGAGGTCATACGGTTCGTTTTATGGCATCAGCGCTTTCCCAAAATGTTCTTAAGATCAATAATTAATGGCTTTGAAACTGTGAAGATGGCGTTTGAACTCTTCGTATGTACTCCACATGATCAGTATGGAGGTATCTATTTAGACATGACCAATATCTCCGCAACTGTCAGATTCAGCAGATCTGTGAGCACTGTTCACGCCAATCTTTGTTACCCATAGATGTCTGGCGCGACACAGCGTTCTCACGATCACGTGGTCAAGTTAACGCTGATCTACACGGGATGTGATTTGACAAATTAGGAACTGTGTACAACTCGCAGCCGGTCGATCTTGTCTCTGCAAGGAATTGAGAAACGTGTCACACTCAGCACTACACGTACAAAATAGTACTCCCTTTGTCCATTGTTTATCAATCAGCAGAAACAAGCTCTCAGATGTGGTTCAGTTCTGCCTGCATCATTGGGGTATTCTGATAGCTGGATCTCACTGTTCAAACAGGCAAACAAGGAACTTCTTAGGAGGTTTATGAAAACGGGTAATGTCTCCTGTACACCACACTGAAATGCTGCTACGTGAACTACTATTCTGTGGCCTGTGCTGACAGAGCCGTCTTCATTGCCTTTTAGTAACGGTGTTTGCTTCCAGCTGAAAGAGTGAAAGCCGCTCTAGGACGCTAGAACCTGGTGTAACGGTGATACTACTGATGGGGGAGGCATGCGAGTAGTATGTTTTATTCCTGTAAATTCACTTTGCGTCTCTTGAAAAGGGATGTCTGCTGCGGAATTTGTGGTGTCGCTTTGTAGCATCTGCTCGGATTTGAGCAATGAATGATTGGAGTCAAGGAATATCCAGGAAAGTTCAAGAAGTTCAAGTTCAGGAGAAGTTGGATGTCCAGTTTTTGTGGACAAGATGCAAATGAGAGTTTTGCTTCCCTGTCCAGTAGTCTGTAACTGGTTATCTGGCATTTTTTAATAAATAACTCCGCAGCGAAATCCTTCACTTGTATCTTGATTTCGCATCAACAGCATGCGGAATATAAATCACACTGAGTTGAATGGGCGGATAAGATCATTTTCTAAACCCAATGACCATATTGGCATTGCTGACTGCCTGTTCTCTACATGTTTCCTTTTGCTTGCAGTTTGAGGTTGGTTAGAAATGCATCCTCACTAGAAAGTTGGGTGGCGCCTGAAACGTAATCGATAACGCACCGCCATACAACTTTACTGGCCCTAACATGCGATGTCGTGCATTCTACGGCATACTTTGACCCCCCAGCTGATGGGTTGACCTCAAGCCATGCCGATGTTCTCATTGTAAGAAAAAAGTCTCCATTGTAATGCTCATAACCTAGACGACGCTTGTAACCAAATGATCTGCGTGTACAGTATCGATGACAATCTATCAGATATCAGCTGTCTTTCAAAGACGCAAATAACTTATTCTGGTACGCTGTGAAATGATGTTCCTGAAACGGATTAATCATAATCACGACAGACTAGCGAGAATCTCCGGCATCCACAGTGTTATGAATTAAGTAAATAGTGCTCATAATCCATTATCTTCAAGGATCGTTGCGATGGATCGCTTCAAAGGAACATCTTGAACTTGACTGTAATGGATGTTTACGCTCCATTCGTGTACGAGACTCAGCTGGGTTCCATGAACCATGACAGTAGGTTATAAATCAGACCCCAAATCCAGACTTTATGATAGAGCTTGGTCAGTAGACTTGGCCGATCTGAATTGATCTAACATTTTGAAGACGGGGGTAGGCCTCTGAACCTTGAATCAAACGCAATTCTTCGATACTGTTTCAGGCACTGTTGTTAAATTGGAGGTTTCCTCAATAAGCTACCCTAATGTTGCCAAGGGAATACTGGTTTTGGTAGTGTTACTGGCCTTACAAGGGGTGGTCGCAGTATCACATCGTACGATGTACAGAAGGTCCACCCCGGACAAACACTAACCAAACTAATCTATTTGGATTGCGCATCGTAAACGGTTTTCGTGTCGGGGGAAACCACAATGTATATATACTGAAACAGACCCTTTCGGGTCGAGTTATACAAAATGATTGTTTTCACAAACCGGTTCTCCAAGTTGAAGAGGCGACATGCCTACCGATAGAAAGGTGTATACTACTGATGAAGCAAGTGAGTAGTGTCTCAATGCGCAACGAGTATTCCATTTATCTGATGGAGGGAATTTACCAAACCGCTTTGTAGTATTTGCTCATTATGGTTCAGTGATCAAGCAATGCCGGAGGATGTTCAAGGGGACGAGTGGGGATATTCACCTTGCTAAAACTCTGAACAAATGGTGTCTGGTGAAGGCGCCCTTCTTATCACAATCAGCACGTAATCAGTGGGTGTTTGTTAGAACGAGTTAATCCCTTGAAAGATATCAAACAGTAATAAGGTCTTCAACACTTTCGGAATGCGCCCAACTTTCAGAACACATGCTGAGTAGTACTCACTAGGTGTATTCATGCCACCCGGCCTTCACAAAAATGATATAACGTATATCTAGTCAGATATCAGGGGATATTGTAGTATTTTATTGGACGGTCAGCACAGGAAGTCAGATTCATCCGCAAATGCACAAGTGCATCGGTTTTAAGCAACCCGGTGGTTGGATAGTCTGCTGAAGGTAGGGACTAGTCCCTTCATGCTCAACGATGATGAAAAATCCCAAGGAATTAACGGTAAGATATAATCGGAAGGTATACCGGGAAAGGCGGTGGTTGTTTGTGATAGGACCTAGTAAGACAATCAAAGCCCAATATGTAGCACTGTTAAGGTACCGATCAGGCAGTTATTGAGATTGATAGTGCAAAGCGGTCTGGTAAGTCTCGGTTGAGATTCCCTCCTGTAAGCGATGCCAGTCTACTCTGAGGAGTACTGTGCAATTGTTGCATCTTCATCGGAAATGCTGGAAGGGTCATCTCACTAAACTTCAATAAGTCGCCAACCTGTGACCTCAGGCTAGCTGCTCGGACACTTAACCATTCAGCCGAGAGGCTGAAGTCACATTCACACTATCTTATTTTGAAAAAAGCCTTCTTTCTGCCTGAGCGCCATAATTCTGGTTGGTCCACACCCAACGGGGGAAGCATTGGACTCGAGATTCGCTCATATCAGAGCCCCTCAGCAGTGCATTTTCTTGGTCAGGGGGGAGGTTGGACTGTGGCATCCGAGATGCAAGGCGAGCATGTTGTCACTACTTCACCAGCTGGCATTGTATGCATTTGAATTGTTACGACTGATCGATCGAACCTGTTTATTGTTCGAGTGATGTGACCTGTTTACCCGACTCCTCGAAAGATAACCCAGTACCCCTCTTGTTTGTGTTGATCGATTAACATGCCTTCCCAGTCAGACAGAACGTTCAAAACCTGCTTGGCCAGTTTCATTAGTCGTCGGTATTTCTCGGCTTTTTAGTATAAACCAACTCCACTTACAGGATGAAATGCGAATAGTCGTGAATTGCCGCATCAGTGAGTGTCTTTAGCCCTCGCATTACGAGAAATAGTTTACGATATCACGCGTGAAAATGAGTTGCGTGGTGTTCTATTCCACGACCGGTATGGCAGTTTGGGTTTAGAACAACCCAGAGGCGACTTTCTCGTACAAAATACTCGACACAGTATGCCTAGAAATGAGTTGCACGGATTGTAACTTCGTCTAAACTGCGCAAGCTACTAGACATGTTATGTTTCATGACATTCAGCTGTGGCACCCTTTCGGTGCTTAACTAGCACGCCACCCGAAGGTTGCACGAGGGCAGAGGTCGGGTTCGAACCACGGACCTTCGTGTCAGTGAATTCGCGCTCTATAACCACTTTGGCCATCTCGCCCCGTTTCAAGGGAGAAATAGCGCTGTATAGGCGTTCCTCTGATTAAGAAGGATAAACCTGAATTCAACAATTACACGCCACCGTGATGTCCATTTTTCGTACGTATCGCTTCATCACGCAGGTTCGGATCAAAGTAGCGGACGAGGTATCAATTTTCATGAATGACAGTCCACGGAGATTATACAAGGACTTGTCTGTTCTGGTCAAGCCTGAAACACAACCAGTGTTCGCTGAGAAGATCTTTAGAAATCTGTAGCAAGTGTTCGGCGTACTGGACAAGTGGCTTTCAAACGTTTCGTCAGTCCTGTCAGGACGCGATCAGATAGGTACAAAAGCACATGTGCAGAGAGTGACCCATCCCCAAGGTCACCATCGGTACGACTCGTCCGGAAAGTAGGTGAGTTGGCGGCTCTCACCAAACACGGCTTAGCGACATACGACCAGCGGAGTGGGCCTGAGACTGTTCACGACCGCCATTCGTTGTACAGAACGAACAAGTGAATGACCATATTTGGCTACTTAGTCATCCTATATATTTACGCAGACGCTCTGTATGTTTTGTCCTGGCAATACAGCCGTGTCCCCAGTTCTGTATCTTCTCCCTATCACGTGGTCTGGTAGGCTCAGCGCAGGCGTAACCAATAGACGACCACCCACGATACAACAAATCCCCGCACTGACAGTGTTCCTTTCATGGCGACGAAGCGTTTCTAAACTCGGCGAACAGACCAAACGTCACTTGATCCACAGCTGATCCGAGCCACCAGTGTTTAGACATGTTGCCAACGACAGACTAGACTTTTAGGTGTTCACGTGCACAGAACCCGCATAGGTGCCAATCCGTAAATACGAAAGTCTTTCGTTATCCCGGAAGACACTGCTACATTTGCTCCCCTGAAGAACGTGACTAAATTGATGTATATTATTACTACTCTTGATAAAGTGGGAAAACACCATTTAAACGAACGATCCTCCTTTACCCAAATCTGAACTCCCCAAAGATTGAAGCCGGATACCACAAATTCAAGTCTAAATATATGGATTCAATATACAAGTTATCCACATTGGTGCTGTTGGCGTTTTTGCTCGGTTTGTTTTTTTAGCAATATCTTTCGTTAGTTCGTCTGTAGCGGCTGAAAGACCAAAAGGTGACAGAATGACGTTAGCTCTGTGTCTGTCGTTGTTTACAAATTGGGAAAAGATCTAGTTGGGGTACTCTGATTGGCGGGATTAAAACTAGTCGGGCAGTCATCTTCCGAAATCTCTTGAGCGGGTGCTGCTTCTGTGGTTATCCGGTTAGGAGACTGGAGTAGTTCTGTGAGGGTACCCGGTAGTTGTGATAATTGAACCTGCAAATGGATGCGGGGGAGAACAGAGTCTAAAAAGTGATCCACATAAGTGAAACAGTTCGAAAAGTCACGACAAAAATTTCCATACCAAAGTTTCTTTTGTGAGCCTCGGAGTTCTGAACACAACAGCGTGTTACGAAGGAATACGACTTAGTAATGAATTGATCTCTCAATGGAGATCCTTCCATGCATCAAGATCTGTGGCTCCTCGAAGAGGGCCTAGCTGCTTCGAAGGCAACCAACGGTCAACTTTCCTCCTGATATTCGCTCATGGAAATGTAGCAAGTTCTCGAAATGTTGAGTTATGCATTTCTCCACCTAACTATAACGCGTTTTTGCTACAAACGTTTGGCTGGCCAGTAATGAGACTGGCACACAGACGGGGATAGAAACGGTAGACCAGATGAAACTGGATGTATCCCCCGTTTGACATTTTGATTTTTCACAAATCGATCTGTGATTCTTACTGCGACAGTTGCTCAACAAGTCTCCTCATTTCTCCGGAAGTCTTGGGGTTGAAAATAACATGCAAAAGATGGATATGTACAAAACTCTACAAAACCCTACCTGAAGTTGAGTTAAGCACTTTTCCACCGATACAAGACGTTGTACAAAAATTGCCTGATCGTTTCGTATGAAAGTGACCACTTCGTGAATGCCAGTTTGCAACTGAGGAATAAGAAAAAACAGGGCTATTTAGATCAATTTTAAAGACGATATTGAGCGGAGTGCAGTAAGACCGAATAGAATACTACTCAGATGAGTATCTAGACAATATGCCGTCTCAAGTGAAAGAACCCGAATATCATGGTAGAAGATTTTTGAGACTATAACGTAGCATTCATGGTTTTTCATCTGGCCGATCATATGTATTCGGCGAAAACAGGGGACTTGCTGCCATGTGAGCAGTATAAAGGGTCGGACTGTCGACTGACACCTTGATATATTAGTCTACCATGGTTCGAACCCAACCCCGGGCATCTCGACTACTCGTGTCTAATCTGGCATTATCCGAGCCCTCGTGCTTCGTTCAGGTGGTATGGCAACCAGGAACCAAAAGGACGACTATCTCACTATTATCGGTGCATCCACCACAGGTAGACTTTCTTCTAAAGGAAAAAGTCACGTTGTTAAATATCGGGCCTATAGTTGGGAACTGATCCCACGTATGATCACATGTAGGTCACTAATGATTGGCTAAGGTTCAACTCTGTCCACTGCCGATACATAGACATCCTAGTAATATTCAAAATTTAATGACGTGAGTCGTGCTCAACATGGCACCCACCTTTGCAAGATCTACCATGGAATTGGCATCCTCTTTCAATTTTCTCTGGTCATCTTTCGCCTTTCGCAAGCTACAAAGAGAAACAATTGGCAGCAGGCATAATAAATATATAGCACGTTAGATTTTAACTTCATGATTGCCGGTAATGCTTTGCAGTAAAACGACTGGGAACGGGCAGAAAAGGAAACCGTACCAAGTGTTTTCCTTCAATCTTTAGTAGGCCTTCGTTGCTTGCCAACCGCGGAGGATAACGAACGACTCGTGTCGTACACACACTCGAAACTATTGATTTCTTAGAGGCACTCCTTGGAAATCAGTTTTCACGCGGTAGAAAAAACCAAGGTCTGAGGAGCAACTCCTCGATTTCGATGTTCTATCCCTCTGAAACCATGTGCCCGTCTTGGCCGCAATCCGAACTGAAAAATGGATGCTGCATCCACCTAGTAAGTAATGTCCTTGAAAGTACACTCGGAATTTCTTATGGTGATTTCGTCTTGCATATCAAGCAAGACTATCATGTCATGAAGTCGAGGAACTCGGTATAGCAGCTTCATCCCCAGTGGGAGTCATCAGCAGCGTGTACCTAATGAAACTCAAGAGAGTTTCGAAACTGCGGCTTTAGCCGTTCGGCCGTAAGGTCGTGCATTCGAAAGTCCAAGGAGTTTCGTGAGATGCCACTTTCCGCTTATTCCTGGTAAGAATGAAACAGTTGAACAGTGGATTTTACCTTCAGCATAGAGTGGCTCCACCGGAATCTTCATTTGGAACGCAAAATCTTCTGTAGCTGTGGATCTAATTTCTTAATTTTCCGTGCTCAGTCCTCACCTGCAGTTGATCAATATCTGCATTTGTTTTGCTCTCCTGTTTCGAGGATTCACTAAACTTGTTCTCATCGAATGGTGAGGAGAGTCTGCAAGTATATTTCCAAACTAGGGGAACAGATCAACAACTACCGGATCAATAAACAGTATATATAATGCTAAAAAGTAGGGTCATAAGACTATGGTTGTATACTGGTTGTATAACCATATACACACCGAAATCTTTCGTACCGTCATCGAGGGAACAACGGGTGATCGCTTGAGCAGGAAAATGTGTTGCGCTTCGTGTTTCCTCTATCAACTTTTCAGAAAAACAAGATGGCAATCTCGGCTTTCCAAAAAAACTTGTATGATCTGGTGTCAAAATTCACGAAGTAACTCAGTCAGTGGGCTCTTATTCCCCTGCAGATATAACGTCTTTCAAAGGCTCGATAGGCAGATAACGTTGGGTTTAAAAAGTTAGGTTCATTCGCCCTTAAGACCAAATATTTTGTTAGCATATACTACTTAATGTTCAGTTGGATTTTACATCTCCGAACAGCAGCACGACGCGCTCCATTCAATTTCACTGACAACTCTGTCGACGCAATCTCTTCTAGAATATATTTTAAGAATAACCAGGGTTGTCTCATAAGAGAATTTCGTCAGGCGAGAAAAAGTCAAAGGGTTCAAGACAGAACATCAATCAACTGAGGAATTCAGTCGCTCTCACTGGCGTTCTTAACTTTTACGGTGATGACATGTTTTAATATGGTGAAAAATGGACAAGTTATCCCAGATTTTGTTTCAGATTTATGTATAAAAACCGACGGATTTTTATCTGCACTTTTCTGGCAATGACATCAGCACTCAGGCTGAGGTTCTGCAGCCAATGGGACAGACCCAAATAAAGATGGAGCACCTGGGTGATACGTACTTCTAAATGCTGGTTCACATAAACCACCCCCCGCTTGAGGCGTGGACTTTTGTAAATCATCTGAGTTTTTCAAGCACACTTGTGAATTAGTGGCTTGAACAAGCGCGCGAACCACCCAAAAAGTACCGTATATATCAAGAGTACAACCAAATAATTACTAGAGCACGTGGCGTGGTTGAACCCCAAGTCAGACAAACTAAGACCAGAAAAATCTAGCCACCTCAAACTTCCCTCTCCTGACATTTTGATGGCTTTCCCCAAACGAATGACCATCATTGTCATCTGAACCTAAAACACTACTCGTGAGGTTACTGAAAATGCTTCAAAGCGGACTACCGTACACGATGAATTCAGCCGGATTCAGTTGAGTCACCCACCAGAACAGATTTCCTGTGCACACGAGAATATTTGTCAAGAAAAGTGACCATCCTGTTTCGTCAGACTCTTATTCGAAAAATGGCCACTGCCCACGGTTACATAATCTGGCACCAAACAAGAGGACCACTGAGTTTGGACTATGCGTCGAATCTGTTTTCCTGTAAAATTCGAAAGTGCACGAATTCAAAATGCCCTCTTTGCCGATGAGTCACTTCACACGTCCCTTTTCGTCGCAATTCTAGCTCAGTGAATTGCTTTCACTGCGATGCTTTGGGGAGTTTTAATGACCGCCTGCCTTGTATTGTGCAAACGTGTCTGGTAATATCTGTCTATTGCAGTTTCGAAAAGGTTAAAGCAAACGGAACAGGGTATGCCACAACAGTCTGCAGCGTGTATCGCGTTCCCAGTGCTTTTGTTCAGTTGCATGCACACACTTTCCTAGTTTATCTATCTAATCAAATCGTTTTGCCGGTGTCACGGCCCCTTTTAACCTACCCCAACTCTCCAGACACATCTGAAGTTATAAGGTTGCCGGGATAAACTCTTGAAGTGTTCACTAGGCGGTCCAGAAAACGGCATGAGATGTTCTGCCACCCTAAACTCAAATGACTGCCAAAGATGCTCGATTCCACTACGAAGCGGTCGTGTCCGTTGACGGTTGACGTGTAAACTTCCAATCACTCAGACTTGGTCAGTTGTACGTACCAGGAGACCGTTTTATGAGGTGCACCTCCGAATCAGTCTTTCCACTTTGGATGAATCTTCTGGTGATTTATTCCTCATGCTCATTGAGAAAGAACACCACATTATTGTAAAGTTGGTGAAATACTTTCAGATAAGTGGTGGAGTTTTCAAGGGCATTCCGTATTGATTTTCTACTATACAGACAAACAAAATGGCGCTTTCTCCAACCTTGCTGTCATATCGCTTTCGGGCACTCAACATATACTTGGTCTGAATCCATTTTTACTTATGTAACACAGATCAGACTAAAGTCGCCATCCTACGGGACAGAAGCTAACTGTAAATCTGTGCGGCCCTACGTGAATAGATCTCACGCTGAGGATGCCTAACTGGACAAAGGTCTTGGTGAGAAGTCATCACACTCACTACATGAAGCGACCACGTGATGTAGTTTTCTGGACTGAAGGATGAGTGATGCTAAGGATGAAACAGCTGTACGTAGCTTCTCGGCCTTTCAGCCGAGATTAACTCCGCTGATAGGGAGATATCACTATTGAAAAAATGGCCTCCGTTTTAAGTTTGCCACACTTTCCAACACGTACCCATTTTCGGCGAGTTTCGACGGCGAGTTGTTCCCTGCACTGCAATTTGTCACGCTAAATATTGGTATACTGGTGCACAAAGCATTCTCCAACCTGATTTTACGAAACTAGAATCCTAAAATTAGTAAACGCCCCTCTTTTGAACGCTGAAAAAAGTGTGGTGTCAAACGTTCGTCGTAAATGCCACACGTCGACAAGGATCCTTGTCGTCACACCTGTCTTTTTAACAAGATTTTACGTCGAACGACATTCTTTACAGATCGCTCAGTCGGATGTGACGCGTGGCTTGCAGCTGGCCGAATTTGCAAAGGAAACTTTGCAAAACAAACCTGAATTAATACGTCCGATATGTTGTAATCAGTCGGAAAACCGCGTGAAGTTGATCTTGTCACCAAGACCATGATTAGGGGGTTCGTCTACGTTGGATACTTTCGCAAATTCAAGTTATGCTTACAAGAACATTCGCCTTGAACTCGAGGTCAACAGGCATTTTAAAACTGTAGAAAAACACTGATGAGAGGCAAATTTAAAAGTCATCTTCAGTCCGACGAAACTTAAAGAAAGTTCGGATTTCGGAAGTATCGATAAGCTTTTCCATACCAGATTTACTGATGCTTCTATTCAAGCAACAGTGTCCGCCGAAACATTTTCCAGCTTCCACTTTCGTCCAATCAAAATTTTTCGGAATTTTAGCAGATTGGTTGTAATAAAAAAAAGTTGCTACTGGCCTAGTTCTGAAACTGTCCACTAAATTAAGGAAGGATAAGTTAAGCACGTCTCTTTGATTACACATCCCAAAAGTCACTTAATTTTTATGAACGTAACACTACTAATAAGGTTGCTGAAAACTTTCAGACAGCTCACGATCGGTTGCACCGTCATTGTGGCTCATAAGATAAACGGCTCATCTCCCATCTGATTTTGAATAGGTTCAATTGAGTCACCCTGCCTGATGAGCCCCGGTAAGAGGGAAGCTGCCGAGGAGTTTTCAGCAACCTTATGAGTAGTATGTTACATATGCGATATCTCCAATATCGCATCAAATGAAACACGGGGCGGCCTGGTACAGCACGTGTAGTTGAAAAAAACATTAAAAAGGACAGTTTTGACTGGTTTTCGCCAAGTCTGTCCTTAAAAAGGAATTTTACAGGCCGACAATTAAATGGACATCCCAAAATCTTGCTGAGTTTGTTGACTGTTGATCACGTGACTGTTCATCTTCTCAGCAAATCGAGCAGTTATCCCGTGAGTTCTTCCTCAACAGTCGAAAAGACAGCATCAGTGCGTGATACGCAGAGCAATGCTAACGAGCAAACAAGGCAGACCTACTGTTAAGCGATTTCACTATTTTTTGTATAGGAGAGACCCAGTTTCCGTCTGTTTAAGCTAAGGCGATCGCTAAGTCGGTTGAATTGTAGGTTGTCTTGATGTATTAGGATATCGACATATATTAAGATGAATAAAACTACTTGAATCTTGTTTTCCTCACTTCAACCGTATTGGAACGTCTTTACCGACGTTTGACACTAGTAGGCTTACGCGTGGTGTTTCAGTGGTTAGTACTCACCCCAACTCACTAAGCCAAACTTCTTACGTGTGCCGATTCAAAGGAGTTTACAGAATTCATAGGACAATCAATAGTACTACCTCTGCCTCTTCTGCCTGGCTCACTAATCAATTAATTTTGGTTTCTTTTCCAATCTGGAAAGTTATTGTTGTGCAGTTATCTCTCTCATTCCAACTCACAGAGGTGTAGCAATGGACTGGAGTTTTTCTTTTGTGCCACGCCAACATACCCACGCTTGTGCAAGGAGTTTAGATCCCGGTTATCTGGTAGCGAGGCGGGCGTCTTGCGATCACTCCATCAACACACCTTGGTTGTCACATCCGAAGAGGATAGCTCGATTAAACTTAGTGGTGTGATCAGTTTACCCAAGGTCTCGAACCCAGAAACTGTCATGACTACGTTGATCGCCTGTCAAGACATCCAATTCGGATAAATTCACGAGCGTTTGCAAACTGAGGAATGGTTGCGAAATTTTTTTGCATTCATGGTCGATTAAATCAGTGGTGAGTGGTGGTCTTGCACTTCATTTGTCTGAGTTAAAGGTCACGAGAACAAGTACTGATCTAAAACACAGCATGTTGCAGATGCTTCTACATCAGCGCTAATAGACTCGGCTCGTTTTTGAAAAGAGTAGCCTGGGAATGATTCGTACAGCGTAGAAACGTACTATCTACTGAAAAGCACTTTTAGAAACTCATGAAGGACATCGGGCCATAAGGTACTACGTCGATGGTGCGTTCTGACCTCTCCTGTGCACTGAAGTAATAAACAAATAAACAAATTGAAAAAGATACATGACACATCAACCAACCGATTTATCGCCGCAAGGAACTTCCGTTGATGTCGCCTCACGCGACTCGCGTTGACGCGCTTGACCAAACGAGTGTGTTTGTAAAATAGCCACGTTTCACGGAGCACATTGGCCGCGGAATGCCTTAACTGAAAGTAGAAGGGGGAATAAATGTTTTCAGTCTGGTCCACACCTCAAGTGGATACTGATATAATTACAAAGAGAAACTGAATATGCCAGTTCACATTACATACAGTTTTGAGCAGTTCTGTCTCACGAAACTGATGTCAACAACAAAGAAGCTATTGGATAATTCTGCGGAAGAATTCCGATGGGGCTTGTTTGGTGCATCACCTTCAGTTTCAACGAAAGCAACATGTAAACGACTTTCAACGAACAACTTGCAAGCAAATCGCTGTTCAATTTAAAGGTTTATCATCTTTAATTCAACGGAATATGTTTGCCTGATGACCCCAAAACATGATAGAAACGGTAGTTTCGATGTAGATTTCGATACAGAATGTGATTGACCCTTCGCCGGATGCGTTCATGTAATTTGGGGAGGGTTCTGATGGCCCCTGCGTATCCTAACAAGCAACAAGAATCCTTCAAAATGATGAGTGCAAATTTCGTTTTGTTTGCCATAACGTGTCCGTTGTAAAATGTGTTATGGCGAAGCGGTTATGGTGCGTCTCTGAATAGGCTTGGGCTCGCTTCAGGGTCGGAGATGTCAGACGCCATCCAGGAGGTTACATTTACTCTGGAAGTTTGTGCGATGCGCACCACTGAGGATTCCAAACAAGGAGGAAGAAGTCCCAAATTGCAACTCTGTTTTTCGGCACTCAAAGGGCTCAATCTCTCTCAAACGATCAGTGTTCTGGTAGGATGACCATATTTGAGCATATATCAAAAACCTGATTATTTCAAGATGATACTGTACTCTTACTTGACCTTTTACAGACTCCTCTGCCATTTTTATTTGAGGGCGAGCCACCTCCCATGGGCAGTATATGGAATAAACATGAAAGGTAGTGAAGGAGAACCTTCAGATGTGAACGAAAATCTCAAGGCCGGAACATCGTGTTCCCACTAACATGAGAAAAACCACCGTGGCTAACATCTGAAAGGTTTTGCTCCGATACATTTGGACGAGTGAATCTACACAAACAAGCGTGCTGTGGACACCCCAAAAGTTCACTTCCACAATTTATTCTAACAAACAGCTGTTTCATTAGTATTAACTGGGTTTAACTTTCTAAGTGTTTCTATGTACCACCAAGAACCAGTCTGTAAATAGACGGCGTCATCACTCTTATCTCAGTAGTGTCGAGCCGACTACACTAGAGGGCTGTGATATGCAGCCATGTCACCAACCTGATATTACCCAATCCTGTCTCTTCTAGCTGGATCAGTGATTTTGGTTGCAGTCAAAAAGAGGGGAGCAAAATTTTTTGTTGTAACGTGTATTCCTTACCTCAGGTGCTAGAGCGCTGGCTCCACCTGGAGGTACTTTTCACCGTGTCGTACCGTTCTTCGTGTGCACCAGTGTGCTTCCTAGTGAATTCCAGCAACAGTACCGAAAGACCTGACTAGCTACGCTCTGTTTCAGACAACTGTTGGAGATGTTCATACGGATAAAGTGGAATAACGTTCATTTCTGAAGACCAAAGAGGCACACTTGTGCCTATGATTGAGTAAAACTGTTGTGTTCGATGGTTTCGTACCACATATGGTGCACTCAAAGCCTGTAAGGTCACGCGTCACATGTATTTATCTACTCACAAGTCGACTGATTCTACTCAAACGAGAGAAACGTTGCCGAATAACGCAAGACGCTTGCTGTCCACCAGGCAAGACTACACACAAACAACTTAAGCTCAAATAGATTACAAACACATCGAAAAAATTTATGGTCACTTTACAAATCTGTTTGAGAGTCGTGAATATCCTTGGCTATGCTTTGCACCCAAAAGGTGTGAGGTCATGCTTCTGGACATGCAGTCACTAAACACGCCACTTACAGTCCAGGAAGAAACACTCGAAGTTGTGGAGCGTTTTACGTACCTTGGAATTTTCATTAGCTCTGATTGTAGTGTAACAGATGAGGTGAATGCACGAGTCTGCAAGGCTCGGGTCGAGTTTACTGGGTTGAGATACCTATGACGTCAGAGTGGTGTATCCCTGAATCTCAACGGACGTGTGTATCAAGCTACAGTACAAGCTGTTTTGTTGTATGGCTGTGAGACTTCGCCTGTTCGAGCAATGGAACTGAGACGTCTTCAGATGTTCGACAATAGTTGTCGGAGGACCACAGCTCGCGTGCGGTGGTTCCGAGAATCCGTAATGAGGCAATAAGAATATGAGTTTTCGGTTGTGCAACGAGAATTTCCATCCTGGACTGTGCCCAGTACCAGAAGCTGCGTTGGTTGGGACATGTGTTGCGTAAGGCAAACCATCGTTTGCGAAAGAGAGTTCTGCCTCCCATGTCCAACTCAGATTGGCGGAAGCAGCGAGGTGGCCATCCTTCGACCTGGCAGAGGGGTATGAAAGAGATTGTGGAACGCCTGGGAGCTGTCGGTGTTACTCGGATTCCAGGACCGCGTGATCCTCACTGCACCTGGTTGGAGACTGTGCAAGATATGGCTGCTTTCAGTTTCTGTCCAGATTGTCTGAATGAGTGTCTGGAGGTAAAGGCCCCCCCCCGGAATGATTGTAGTAAGCTAGCACTAAGTTCCTTCCGAATCCGCCTTTATTCTTTTCTCCACAATAAGTCTTTGAAAAATGATTGTTGTACGGCAGCGGAGCACTGTTGTTGAACATTGATGTCCTACTGCCGATGATGATGATGGCTATGCTGTGCAGATCAGCTGTTCGGAAATGCATTTAATTTGCAATGCACTACTCATAAGGTTGCTGAAAGCCCTTCGATTTAGCTGGGTTCCAGATGAGTCTCTGGTAAAACCAAATTAGTTTGCAAATTAGTGTATTTCGCTAAGTACATTTAACTTGGTGCAGGACAGGCACAATAAACCAGAATTTAAACGAAAGAAAAGCTGACTGACCTACTTCTCGGGGGACACAAGTTTGCCGGTCAGGAGAGGATCATACTTAAAAAATGCGCCAACTTGAATACAATAAATCCAACGTCTACATTGATTGGGTAATGAGTACAATGGTAGAATAATTTAGTATTAACGGTTTGTTTGGCGATACCATATAGGCATCAGGCGGCAGATTTGAAAATATCAGCAGCTGGCGTTTGCACTGAGAACACTGTGGTGGCAGGAAACTCTGGTTCAAGGAATCTCTGAACGTGACTTGGATGCTGTCGCAAACTATAAGATCACATTTGCTGTATCTCTACCTACCAAATGAACTATCGAAACAACCAAGTAGTTCGGACCTTCATTCACGCTCCTCGTTTTCCTGTTTTCCAGTCTATAGTACATTCTGATTCGGATACGCTGGCAGTGCACACTCCACGGAATTCATGAGGTTTAGAACCCTCCGACGCCCTAGTAACTTATGCGGCCACGATCGTCCAATCAGCAAAAATCTCACCTTGCGCACACAAGACCCAAAATCGATAAACAACACTGACGTTCATACATTTTTGAATTGTGCTAAGTTGGCGCGTTCAACAACCACCAAGCCAAAATCTCATTTGATAAACGTCCGGGAAGCAAGCTCTAATAATTTTGGCCACGTTCTAAAGAGTTGTGACAGAAACAGGTTTCTTAAGTACCAAAGAACGGTTCAAAATCAACGCACACTCAGGAGTCGTGTTCGTCATCAGCGGATTCCACGTTACATCCACTATCTCAGTCAGCATTCTATTGCCGACGGGAAAGATCACCGAACTGCTTACTATCGCACTACAAGTGACTAGAGGAAACAGAGCTCCAAAGTGTTGGTTCCATCGAGATAACACAGCTGAATGGCATAATAATCTGCCGCATGTATCGTCCAACTACGTATTTCAACGCGGGTGCTATGCAAACTAAACTTCGCAGCATTCTCTGGTCGCACACCATAAACCCAAATCTTTAGCAGACTGTGCTCGGAAAAGTCTACATGAGTCCGTCCCTTGTTCTTTGGAAGACCTTATCTATTCTTCTCCGGGGCAGTGGAAGCTTTCTCAAACGCCTGCACAACAGAGCGTGGCAGTGCTACCGATTTCACTCATCTCAGTGTGATGTGCGAATCATCCGAATTCATTTCTTTCGTGAACCGAACCAGCAGCCCCTTCATACCTTTCTCAGTGACTTCGTAAATTCTTATCTCAAGGTCTTTTCTATGAAGCAAAATGCTGAGGAAAGGAAGAAGGCCTTCGCTGCGGAGTTATTTATTAGAAAATGCCAAATGACCAGTTAAAGACTATTGGACAGGGAATCAATACTCTCATATGCATCTGATTTACAAAAACTGAGCATCCATCTTCTCTTGAACGCGTCTTCCTGAACTTTCCTTGATAGTAATTGACTGTTGCTCAAGTCCAAGGAAATTCTACAAAGCGGCTCCACAAATTCCGCAATAGAGACGCAAGACGAATTTACAAGAAAATATACTACTAATATGCCCCCCATCAGTAGTAACACCGTTACACTGGTAGCTCAGGTAGTGCAGATGGTCGTTGGTTTCTTCCCTGAGCTAGGCAGTTTGATTGTAAACGTTTCATCGCCAGTTGAAGTGGCAACATCAGTGCGTTGTTAGAGAGCGATGGTTGTACCACAATTATTACCGAGCCATCTCTATGGTCCACTACGCTCACAACGCACGGATAATGTCAACTTGATTGCTGATAAAACGTTTGTTATCAAATTTCCCAGCTCAGCGAACAAGCCAACGACCACCTAAAGCTGTCGTATCCCTTCGAAGTGGATTGTGACCGAAAGAACCTACATCCTAGAACACGTTCAAGGGGTGACTTGTGTGCAAAACCGATCAGATTTGTGAAGAGGAATGGCCCGGCCACGGTGAAACAGAAACTCTGACCACATTTACCAAGAAAGTTTATTTCAGAATACTCAAGAACGACGGTAGGTGCCGTGAAACGCGGACTGCTATGAAACCCCAACGTGGCAACCCCCCTGCATGCAGTCCCGATACCAGGGGATCAGTGATTCTTTGAGTGTGGCGCACCAGGATC